TGGGCCTCATCCTCCAGAAATTCTGTTTCTTTGTTACTAATGTTGTGGCCCCACCCCATCACAAACAGAATTTCCGGAGGATGAGGCCCAGAAATCAGGATTTAAAAAGATTCCCAGGTGATTCTAATGTGCAGCCAAGGTTGAGAACCACTGGAGTAGAGGAACATACACTTGCCGTGTCTATCCACTCCACCTTTGCATACCCGCCTGTCAGCCCATTTGTTGACAAGGATATGCTTTCCACATGGCATCGCCTTGGCACTCTGCGGGACACCAGCTGGTAAGCTCTGTGTGGCTCTGTTTCTGGCCTCTGTTCACTTCCACTGATCTGTACTAATCCTTTTGTCATACCATGTTGTCTTGATGAGTGTCTCTTTACAGTCAGTCTTGAAAACAGGTCATGTAAGTCTTGCAACTTTGTCTTTTTAAAAGTTGTTTTGGATGTTCTAAGTCCTTTGTTTGTAGAAAGTGTTTTCTGTCAAAAGGCCTGCGGAGCCCTTCCTTTTGATTGCACTGCGTCTGTAGCATCTGTAGTTTACATCAGTGTAGGGAGGACTCAGGTTGGTCACATTGAGTGTTCCAGTTCCTGAGCACAGTATCTGTCTTCATTTAGGAAGGTGGGTTGGAGGGTTTTGAGGGTTTTGGTTTTTCTCCATTTGGGTTGAAGCGTAGTGCTGACGTACAGTTTAAAAGAATAACCCTGTCTGTCATTGAAGACGGACGCTAACGGGGCAGGGGTGGAGCTGGGGCACACAGGAGTCTGTTTCACTCATCCTAGCGGAAATGACGGTCACAGGGTGTTAACGTTACTTTGAAACGCCTAGATTCTGCCTTTATATACGGGAGAGCCAGCCATCTAGAGTGCCAGGTTCTTTCCTACAACCTCGCAAATAAGAGCCATCTGTCAAGTGTTTAGAATTCTTACCAACGTCATTTTAAAACTTGTACCACATTTTTAAATATATATTTTTTATCAGATAAGGCAGTGCTTAGAGGAAAATTTTCAGTTTCACATACTTATTTTAAAAAGCAAGAAAGTAGATGGTAACAAAAACTAATATTTTATTCAATTACTAGCTCATCATTAATCTTCTTGAGAAAAAAAGTATTTGATTTTTCAAAATTAAACGTGCACTTTCATTTTATTGTAATTTTTGTTGCCCCAATTGTTCATTACAGAAGGCTTACAACGTGTGTCCTCACTGGGTTCCTTGGTCTATAGATGGATGTGATGGTAGCCCATTCTTGCCCTGTTGTAGCCCATTCTTACCCTGTTGTAGCCCATTCTTACCCCGTTGTAGCCCATTCTTGCCCTGTTGTAACCCATTCCTACCCCGTTGTAGCCCATTCTTGGCCCGTTGTAGCCCATTCTTGCCCCATTGTAGGCCATTCTTGCCCCGTTGTAGCCCATTCCTACCCCGTTGTAACCCATTCCTGCCCCATTGTAGCCCATTCTTGCCCCGTTGTAGCCCATTCTTGCCCCGTTGTAGCCCATTCTTGCCCCGTTGTAACCCATTCCTACCCCGTTGTAGGCCATTCTTGCCCCGTTGTAGGCCATTCTTACCCTGTTGTAGCCCATTCTTGCCCTGTTGTAACCCATTCCTACCCTATTGTAGGCCATTCTTGCCCCGTTGTAGGCCATTCTTACCCTGTTGTAGCCCATTCTTGCCCTATTGTAACCCATTCCTACCCCGTTGTAGCCCATTCTTGCCCCGTTGTAGCCCATTCTTGCCCCGTTGTAGCCCATTCTTGCCCCGTTGTAGCCCATTCTTATCCCATTGTAGCCCATTCTTGCCCCGTTGTAGCCCATTCTTGCCCTGTTGTAGCCCATTCTTGCCCTGTTGTAGCCCATTCTTGCCCCGTTGTAGCCCATTCTTGCCCCGTTGTAGCCCATTCTTGCACTGTTCCCTTGTAGGTAACTGAGTTTCTTTCTCTTGCTGCTTTTAAGATTCTCTCTTTGTCTTTTGCTCTTGGCATTTTGATTATGATGTGTCTTGGTGTGGTCCTCTTTAGATTCCTTTTGTTTGGGGTTCTCTGCGCTTCCTGGACTTGTAAGTCTATTTCTTTCACCAGGTAGGGGAAGTTTTCTGTCATTATTTCTTCAAATAGGTTTTTAATATCTTGCTCTCTCTCTTCTTCTGGCACCCCTATAATTCTGATGTTGGTACGCTTGAAGTTGTCCCAGAGGCTCCTTACACTATCTTCATATTTTTGGATTCTTTTTTCTTTTTGTTTTTCCGGTTGGGTGATTTTTGCTTCTTATTTCAAATCTTTGACTTGATTCTTGCGATCCTCTAGTCTGCTGTTGGAACTCTGCATAATATCCTTTATTTCAGTCAGTGTATGCTTAATTTCTAGTTGGTCCTTTTTTATAACCTCGAGGGTCTCATTAGATTTCTTGAGGGCCTCACTAAATTTATTGGCAGTTTCTAGAAAATTCTTGAAAAACCTTAAAAGTGTGGTTTTGAACTCTGTATCCAGTAGTTTGCTTTCCTCCATTTCTGTCATTTGTGACTTGTTTCTTTGTCTCTGCATTTTTTATGCTTCCCTGTGTTGATAGAGTGGCTTTCTGTACTAGGTGTCCTATAGGGCCCAGTGGCTCAGCCTCCCCAATTACCTGAGGTGGACACTCTTGGTGCACCCCTTTGTGGCTGTGTGCACAGTCTTGTTGTAGTTAAGTCTTGATTGTTGTAGGTATCACTGGGAGGAATTGACCTCCAGGCCAATTGGCTGTGAGAATCAGCTGTCTGCAGTGGGAGAACTTCTGAGCTGGAGACACTTTTCTGGGGCAAGACTTGCTTCAGTGGGGCTTTGGTGCTCACTGAGTCTGCCCCCTGAGTGTGTCCCTTATGGATCTGAGGAGTTGTAATCTGGATGGTCCCACTCTGACCACTGGGTACACTGGCACTTGGATCTCTAAAGAGATGCTAATTTAGCCTCTGCCTGAGGCTACCCAGCAGGAGCTATGGAGAGATCTGCAAATTCCTCTTCTTTGTTTGGGGTTTGGAGGTGCCCAGCTGAGGCCCAGCTGTGAAGCACTGTAAGCTGCTGTGGGGCCTTGGACCTTCTTTTGGAAGTTCTGGGTCTCTCTGACCCAGCTGCAGTTTGTTAGGTAATTTTCAGGTTGCAAAGGGCCAGGCCATTCATATGCTAAAGCCTCTGCGCTCAGCTTGGGTGGGGCGGGGTCTCAGGGGATCAACAGGGCAGAGCAAGCAGCTACATCTGCTCCCCAGTCCTGCCCTAAGAGGCCCCGTGTCTCAGTGTCCCAGTAATCGCTGCAAGCACCTCTGAGAGAAAGTTGCCCTCGAGTTCCGCCTGCTGCCAGACAGTCCAGTTTCTCCCCGTATGAGTCTGGGTCCCCAGAGACTCACCTGGAACTGGAGTTCAGAGCAGTCGGGAGCTTGAGACTCCCTTCCGATTGAAAAAGACAACCGTGTACTTAGCTGCCAGCCCTTTTGGCGTACGCCTCTGTACCTCTGCACTTTACTTCCGCACCTCCTCTGAGTCTCAGTGCTTTTCTCTTTCCTTCTAGTTGTAGAATTTCCACTCAGCCAGCCTTCCTGTGGTTCTGGATGATGTCCGTTTTGTCTTTTAGTTGTATTTTTGAAGTGGTTGTGCGAGGCAGCAATTTCTGGTGTTTACCTATGCCGCCATCTTGGTTTCTTTCTACCACTGTCTTGTAAATGTAACTGTACCTCCCTGCAGTCACATAAAGAACATTTATATATTTTAGAAAAAATGTGTACATTTCTAAGTGTATAAATTTTGTGTAAGCTATGACTCATCAGTTTTAAGTCTAAAATCAGCAAAGGGATCTGTGTTACCATCGGTCTTTCCTTACTATAAAACATAGCACAAAATTGCTTAATATTCAATTTTATGAGCAATTTTTTTTATTAAGAACATGATTGTGCATGTATATGTACATGACAATACATTCAAATATTTAGATACTTTAAATATATATTTTTGTTTGACTTCATATGCTCTATATTAAAAAATTGTAAATTCAAGACAGTATTATACTTGCTAATAATTACCAATACAGGGCTGGGCAAGGTAGGTTTACAGTTGTGAGTATACAAAACAGAGTTTGTTATTTGTTAATTATTGTATTTTTTCCATATGAGCAACTATAAACTCCTACTTTTGCTCCACCCTGTATTTTGACTTTGAGATAATTTTTATCAAAATTTTTGGGATATTTCATATTAAGGTTCTAGAAAAAAATAAAAGATGACAATCCACTAAATAAAAGCAATTTGGGGGTAAGAAATGGAAGCTGTCTAGAAAGTAAACAAATCACAGTATAAATTTAAGTTATAAAGTATTTTTAGTTTAAACAATCTTTTCCTGTTTTTTTTTTTTTTCATTGTTGTTAATTCTTACCCGAGGATCTTTTTTCCATTGCTTTAGAGAGAAAGAGAGAGAAGAAGGGAGGGAGAGGGGGAGAGAGAGACATCGATGTGAGAGACACACATTGGTTGGTTGCCTCCCTCATGCATTCCGACTGGGGCCAAGGATTGAACCTGCATCCCAGGTATGTGCCCTTGACCAGGAATCAAACTTGCCACCCTCTGTGCTCTAACCACTTCAAACCAGCCAGGGCTAAGCAATTCTTAAAATTCCTTTAAAAAAAAAAAGCATGTCCACCATATTTTAAATATGTATCATAAATATCTAAAATATATTTTTCTCCTTCACCCTCCCCCCAAAAAATCCTGAGGAATGAATTTCTGAGGTCTCCATTCATATATAGGAACTTGAATTTTATGGCAAGGCACTATGAATAATAGGGAACAATGAACTATTCAATAAGTATTCTGGACCAATGCTCACTATAGAGAAAATAAAATTAAATCCCTATCTTATAGCACACACAAAGTAAATCTCATATGCATTAAAGACCAAATGTGGAAGAAAAGTGTAAAATTTTAAAAAGAACACAGAAGAATATTTGTTCATAGAGAGTTCTCACATAAAACAAAAATACCCATAAATCATAAAGGAAAATTTCATGGTATTAAAATTAAACCTGGCAAATACTAAAACACATCATAACCAAGTGAGAAGACAAGCTGTAGACCGAGTGGAGATGTCGGCAGTGCATGTAACTGACACAGTTAGGGTCCAGGATGCACACAGACTTACAGACCAGTAAGGAAAAATCCAACCACCCAGTACCACCCAGTAGAAAACTGGCAATGGATGTGAATGGGTGATTCACAGTGAAATGACCTGGATGTCCAAAAGCTTATGGACAGACGCTCAACTCCACTGATAATCAGAGAATTGCCCCCACCCCCCAAAAAAGGTCCTAGTGAAATGGATAGTGGGTGTGGGTGACAGGGTGCTTTGAACAGACTATAGGAAGGTGTGGTTTGCCTCATTTCCTCCGAGTAGAGCAATTGCGATAGAAATATATGGCCGTGCAGCCTCTATAATGGCACTGTTGAGGGCCTGGAGCTTGTTGCACAGGAATATATTCTTCATGTAATTTTTAAAGACCTTTTCCTGGCCAAAAAATTAATAATGCTCACTATGTAATAGTTGGGAAATATAGAACAGCGTGAAAAAGAAAATAAATGCTGCCATACAGAGATACCTACAAGCAAGATTCTGGTGTGTTGCTCTAGCTGGCATAGCTCAGTGGTTAGAGCGCCATCCCAGGCACCAGAGGGTCTTGGGTTTGATTCCCAAGCAAGGACACATCCTGTGTTGTAGGTTTGTTCCCCAGGCCAGGTTGGGCACATGTGGGAGGCAACCAATCGATGTGTCTATCTCACATTGATATCTCTCTCTCTCTCTCTCTCTCTCTCTCTCTCTCTCTCTCTCTCCCCCCCTCCTCCCTTTCTTTCACTCTAGCTAAAAAAGCAATGGAAAAATATCCTTGGGTCAGGCTTAAAACAAATAATAAATTTAAAAAAGATTCTGTTTCTTTTTTTCTAAACACACAAAAATATAAACAAATACATACAAAACTGTGATTATATAATAGATAAGAATTTAATATCCTTTTTTAAACTTGTTTTCCACTGGATAAAATTATGTCGAGTTGCTTAACTTTCCCCTTATATGTTCTTCATAAGGATTTATGCTTTTTATGGCCCCCCAAAACCTTACATTGAATGGATATACCATAATATAAGAATAGTATTTACAATTTTATGGGTTTTAAAGTTTTATTTTGGCCCTAGCCAGTTTGGCTCCATGGATAGAGAACTGGCCCATAGACTGAAGGGTTGCAGGTTCAATTCCAGTCAAGGGCACATACTTCAGTTGCAGGCTTGATCCCAGCTCTGGGTCAGGGTCCATGCGGGAGAAACCAATCGATGTGTCTCTCTCAATTGATGTCTCTCTCTCTGTCTCTCCTCCTCCACTCCACTCTCCGTGTAAATGAATGGAGAAGATATTCTCGAGTGAGGAGTAACAAAGAAAAAACACACAAAAGTTTTCCTTTGTATAAATAAAATTTTGTTTAAAACTTTAAAAGCCATAAAATTATAAATATACATCATATTTTTTGACAATCAATGCCTCTCAGCATGCGGTTCAACGGGTACATGTCTCTATGTTTTCAGAACTCCTCAAGGGCTGACAGAGTAGACACTGCACAAGGATATACTCCGACATTTCGCGCCATGTCTCAGGGTCCATCGGAAAGTGACAGTCTGTCTGTCACACATGGATGACGGAAGGTCTGCCTGTGAAGTCCACCTGCTGGACTCCTACAAGCTGTAAAACAGAGTTGATGGGTTTGTGATCCAGTCTATTCCTGTCACGGTGTATAAAATGGATGTAGTGGCCTAGAAGGCAATAAGAATAAAAGGCAGAGGTTGGCATCTATTATTCCCTATTGGATTTATTGCTTCCTAGAATCAAGGACGCTTGTCAACTTTTAATTAGTCCACAGGAAAAAATTACTCACTCAGAGTACATTATATTCTGTGTGTAGCGCCATAGTAATTTTAAATTAAGGTAATAAAGCATGACAAGGACATGGTTAAATAAGAGTGATGCTTAATGTTTATGAGGTCCAAGGGGCATGATTCTTAAATGATGACCTTCTATTAGGTTATAATTAAATAAAATATCCTGTCACACAGGCAGAAAATGGAACTAACATAGATAGCAAGCTGAAAAATCACATCTGTTTCTTAAATGTAATAATGGAATAAATCACTCGCTTAAAAAAATTCACTCCCAGATACTGATTTAATAAGCTATCTGCCCGCTGGCCGGTGTAGCTCAATTGGTTGGGCGTTGTCCTGTGCACTGAAAGATTGCCCATACTATTCCCGGTCAGGGCACATGCCAGGGTCCCAAGCTCGGTAGTGGGTGTGCAGGAGGTAGCCATTCATGTTTCACTCTCACGTGGATGTTTTGCAATCACATCTCTCTCTCTCTCTCTCTCTCTCTCTCTCTCTCTCTCTCTCTCTCTCTTTCTCTCTCTCCCTCCCTCCCTCCCTCTCCCTTCCTCTCTCTCTAAAAAGAAAAAAGAAAGATTTTTTTCTTTTCACTTTGCAAGCATTTTTTTTGTTATTTTTATTTATTAAAAATTTTTAATGTTGACATTATCGTACGTGTTCCCCTCCTTTGTACATCTTCACCCACCCCCCAATAAAAAAATCTTTTAAAAAAGGCTGTCTGCATTACAGTATAACTGTAGACCAAAAGAAGCTGAAAATAAGGACATTAAGACAATCACTTAGGATGCACTTAGATGTCCACAATTCTTTTACTGCTCAAATATAAATAAGTCATAATTTATAGTCCAGTTCTGTTTACTTATATTCTTGGGCTCAAGATGAGAATTTTAACCTAAAACAGTAGATTAAGGAAACATTATTAGAGGCATGTTTTCTGCATTGTACTTATCTGCTGTCTCTAGTCATCACTATAGATTTAATATCATAAACTGGCTTATTATCAAATAATACAAATAAGGCAAATGAAACACTGGTTTTGCCATGAGATAGATTTGTGTAAATACGTACACCTCGCTTTCTCCTTAGAGGAGCTCTATTTCTCCCAGGAGGTGTATCAAAATCTCCTATAAAGTATGTTCCCAACTTGGGCACAAATGACACTCTCCCTGCGCTCTTCATCCTCACACAACTGCACATGGCCCAGTGACACCGCGACGTGGAGCTGAAGGGCTCAGAAAACACCGTCCCCTCTGAGGATGGGACCGAGTCCACGGGCAATTCCCCTCCGAGGATGGGACCGAGTCCACGGGCAATTCCCCTCCGAGGATGGGACCGAGTCCACGGGCAATTCCCCTCCGAGGATGGGACCGAGTCCACGGGCAATTCCCCTCCGAGGATGGGACCGAGTCCACGGGCAATTCCCCTCCGAGGATGGGACCGAGTCCACGGGCAAGTCCCCTCCGAGGATGGGACCGAGTCCACGGGCAATTCCCCTCCGAGGATGGGACCGAGTCCACGGGCAATTCCCCTCCGAGGATGGGACCGAGTCCACGGGCAAGTCCCCTCCGAGGATGGGACCGAGTCCACGGGCAATTCCCCTCCGAGGATGGGACCGAGTCCACGGACAAGTCCCCTCCGAGGATGGGACCGAGTCCACGGGCAATTCCCCTCCGAGGATGGGACCGAGTCCACGGGCAATTCCCCTCCGAGGATGGGAACGAGTCCACGGGCAATTCCCCTCCGAGGATGGGAACGAGTCCACGGGCAATTCCCCTCCGAGGATGGGAACGAGTCCACGGGCAATTCCCCTCTGAGGATGGGAACGAGTCCACGGGCAATGTGGCTAATGTTGTCCTGGGCAAATCCTAGGACTCAGTCATAAAACATGGCTCCTTCTCCGAGGGTCTAACTGGTGTGAACTCATGAGAGGGAAAGGGAGCTTAAGTAACGGTTTAGCTTGTTGTAGTGTTCCACACGCAAAAAGCCCCAACGTCATAATGCTTGGTCAAAGTCCTCTCTCTAAATGCCTTCTAGCTATCTGGAATTTATTAAAGTAAATGTAAATTTTAGAACGCTTAGAAGCTACACTCACTCACGTGGACAATTTTAAAAGGAAGAAGAACCAAGAAAGACAGTTTACAACTGCTTTTTGGCACTGTCAGGTTGGGTGTTTGTCCCTGACTGCAGTACTTGAGGGTGGTAGAGATTCAACACTCAACCACTTAGCAGAGTGGGGCCAAGGAATTCCAGGTGGTCCAAACTGACCAACAAAGCCATTGCAAGCATGTGGCTTTAGTAACTGTTATTGGATGAGCGGTCCCTGGGGCTGCCTTGCCTTCTGAACTGAGCACATCTCCTAGTTTTGTAGGTAGAACTATCTAGATTGACTCATCTATTGACCCAAAAACAGTGCTTGATGAGTCTCTGATTTGGAATGTTCACCTCCATTGAACTTCCTTTTTTTTTTTAATCCTCACTCAAGGACATGTTTTTAAAATGTTTTTATTGATTTTTCAGAGAGAGGAAGGGAGAGGGAGAGAAATAGGAACAGCAATGATGAGAGAGAATTATCAATCAGCTGCTTCCTGCACACCCCCCACTGCAGATAGAGCTCAAAACCCGGGCATGTGCCATGACCTGAAATCAAACCACGACCTCCTGGTTCATGGGTCCACGCTCAACCACTGAGCCACATCGGTGAGACCAAGGATATTTTTTTATTGGTTTGAGAGAGAGGGAGAGGGAAAGAGGGAGAAAGAGAGAGAGAGAGAGAGAGAGAGAGAGAGAGAGAGAGAGAGAGAGAGAGAGAAATATCAATGTGAGAGGGAAACATCCATCAGTTGCCTCTCATACACTCACAGACGCGGGATTGACCCTGCAACTAGGTATGTGCCCTGTCCAGATATCTAACCCGCAACCCCTTGGTTGGTGTACAGGATGACGCTCCAACCAACTGAGCCACCTGGCCAGGGCTTCCATTGAATTTTTCCAAGTGTTACAGCCACATACAGTTCACCAAACCACCGTTGACCTTTCCGGTCCCAAATACCTGAAAACCCTCGGGCATGGAATGATGGGCACATTACATCCAATAGACAGACATCAAAATACACACACGCCTTTGAAAACACAAGGTGCCCCGAGAAAGCACAGATCCTGACTGCCGCAATGCCCAGCTGCCCACTTTCACGTGGCCGCTATTTTATGAAGAAGCCGGTAGCCCCTGGACTTTGGAAGTGCACCAAGTGTCCTTTGGGTCTGGGCTGGATGCTTACCTGGACCTACGATGAGGGTCCCACCTTGCTGACCTGGGTCTCCTTGAAAATCAAAAGGAGGGCCGGTCACCGCCCGCCACAGGCTCCACATGCTTCCCGAGAAGATGTTTGACTTTACATGGGGGCTCGGTCCTGCAATATTAGAAAGCATCTTTAGATGCTATCATTGTATATTCCAATGCGTAGATATTAAAAAGATGATGTTAGGCCTTCTCTTTCTTGTGTGTCATCCAAACTTTCGACTTGCCTAGTTTTCTTTCAAGGAACGGTTTCTCAGCCTCCACTGCTGATGCTTTCGATGAGAGCATTCTTTGTCCTGTGCAATGTAGGTGCTGAGCAGCACCCTTGCCCTCTACACCCATTAGATGACACGGCACCCACTACCCACCAAGATGTGAGGACTAAGCATTCTCCAGACAATGTCAAATGTCCCCTGGGGGCAAAATTGTCCCAGGTTGAGGATATCTTTTTAAAAATTTTTTATTTGTTGATTTTGGAGAGGAAGGGAGGGAGGAAGAGGAAGAAGGGAGGAGGAGCGAGAGAGCAAGAGAGCGAATGAGAGAGATTGTTCCACTTATTTATGCATTCATTGGTTGATTCTTGTATGTGCCTTGACTGGAGATTGAACCTGCAACTTTGGCATATGGGGACGATGCTCTCACCAGCTGAGCTACCCAGCCAGGGTGACCTGCCTGATTTCTTAATATTCCCAGAAACCTGTTATTTTCCTCCATCTCTTGAACTCCTCTATTTCTTTCATGTTTACATGAGAATGGACAGTCATCTTACCAAGAAACAAACACAGGCTCATTAGCTTGGAGACATGGGAAAAAGACTAAATTTTACTGTTTTATAGGATTCTATATCTCACTCCCTCTCTCTTCCTCTCTATCTCTAAAAGAAAAAAAAAATCAATAAAAATGTATTTAAAAAGTGAGCTTAGAGTGCCACCTCCCAGAACTCCTCTGAGAAGCCTTCCCAGACTCTCTCTCCTCACTTTTCTGGCACAGGTATTCCCAGCACCAGCACATGCTTTCCTCTCTTACAAACCCTTAACCTGGATCATAATGAGCTGTTTGCTTCTGGCTCTCAGAGTAGATGATGTGTCTGTCTTCTATCACCACCTCCCGGAGTGCCCAACACAGTGGTTGTCACTGACGAGAGCTCAGTAATGTTTGCTGAGATGAATGATCTGAGTTTTCTTACTTGGCATTTCAGAAGCCAAGTTCTTCCTACCTAAAACACATCTTAACAGTTCACCTGAAGCTTACTAAGCTCTACTAATTATAAAGAATTGTGCTAAGGGCCAGGAATGTGGACCACATAATGGTGAATAAAACATCAAACTCTTCAACTAACTGCACTCCCAGCCACTTCACACACAGTAACTAAGTATATAGGGAAGTACAAGGTGCTGTCGAAATACAGCGAGGGAAGCAGTTGCTTGAAGAACTATTAAGAGCCCCTTTGAGTTGGGCTTCAAATGAAACCAGGATTTCATCAATGAAAGGACATTAAGTATTTTAAGTCATGAAGATGAGGAATCTCTTACCTAATAATAGACAAACATGTAAATTGACCGTCCCTCCACTATGCTCACCAGCCAATCAGGAGAGTGTGCAAATTAACCCAAGAAAGATGGCAGTTAATTTGTATACACAGGCATGAAGCAGCGGAGCAAAGACTGAAGGCAGCTCTGGCCGGAGCAGCGAAGGCCTGGGTCCCGGGTGCCGGAGGAAAACTGGTGCCGGCAGCCAGGGGAAGGGAAGGCAACGGGCCTCTAGTATAGTATATAAAACCCTAATATGCAAATAGACTGGGCGGCAGAACAATTGAACAACCAAACAACTGGTCGCTATGACGTGCTCTGACCACCAGGGGGTGCGCACAGAACATGGCAGGCATCGGCTACGGCGGCATGGTGGAGTAGGTGAGTGGGGGCACCAGACCAAGATAGGGCACTGGTCGCTATCATCGGGGTGAGCCTCTGGTGGTTACTGAAAATTCTTTGCTTCCATGCACCATGGTCCCGCTGGGTGCTTGCACCTGCTGTCAGTGCCAGCCCCGCCTGCACTGGCTGCTGGCACCGGAGCCACTGTTCGCATCCGCAGCCGGCACCCAACGCCGGCCCCAATCACTCAGCATAGTCAGCAGGTGCGTGTGGTGGCTGCTGACCCTGATTGCCCCTGAGGGCTTCTCCACTTCCCCCTGGTCCTGAGGGGCGATTGGGGAAGCAGCCTCCACTTGCACCTACTGCTGGCACCAGCCCCACTCGCACCCACTGTTGGCACCAGCCCCAATGGCTCCGCACAGTCAGCAGGTTCGAGTGGAGCCGGTGCTGTCAGCATGTAGGAGCATGGTGGTGAGAGCAGGGCTGCTGGCAGACAGGGAATGGGGCCGCGGCAGGAGGGGCCGGGCGGGGGTGCGGAGGATGGGCCAAGACCCGCCCCTGTGCCCACAGCAGCCTCGAGGCCCACAGTTCCTTTCAGGGTGCATGAATTCGTGTACTAGGCTCCTAGTAAAAGTACTAGTATATTAGCTTAAGCAATTATTTTCTTTTAATCATAAAGGTAAAATGTACTCATTTTAAAAACACATAAAAGCCATTTTTCTCACTTCCATTCACTGGGGTTAGCACTGCAATATCTTTTAAAATCTTTTCCATTACACACACACGAAGTATGTTTAGTACTTTGCAGCTTTCCATGTCATTACACCCCCAGAAAGGAATCTTTTAGGGTCTGGTGGATCTGGACTGCTTACAGGAATCATAAGAAACAGTCTGAGTTATTAACTTAGCATTTCTTTCCCTAGCATATAGATTCAAATGTAAAAATACATCATCAGTGTTTTCTATTTGAGACATGTCATGTGTAAGTTACCTGAGGAGGTAACTTCTTCACCTCTTTTCATTCCCAATCTTTTATAAATTTCTCTGTCAGGATCAACGTAGATTTCATGACAATACCCAGTCAGTTTGCAAAAAGGCTGCAAAAAGAGAATATGTGAGACCTTTACAAGAAAAAAAATTATATAAGAGAGAAAAGTAATTATAATCTAACTTAATTTCAGTAAATACAACCTACACTTATTGGTTCAAATGATATACTTGCTATGTCTGTTAGTTTTAATCTGTTAATTTTTCAATTTGTTATACATTTACCTCAATATGATGGTAGGATGCCTGTCCAATCACTATAAGGGTGACATTTGCCTCCTTTAGGAGAAAAAACACACATGTACATACTATTAGAAATTATGTTTCCTACAACTTCCCCTTATCCAACTCTTTTGTTCCATTCCAAAGCTAATTATAGGCTTCTAGAAGAATGGAATAAATGGGAACTGTGAGTCACAGCAAAGAAATGTATGGTAAAATGTTTCAGTCTGATGACCTTTTGCTAAATAAGAACTTTTATATCCATACTAAAAAAAGAGTAATATGCTAATTAGACCAGACATCTTCCGGATATGCTTCCAGACGTCCTTCCGGACAAAGCCATGGTGGCGGGGGCCAAGGCAGAGGTGGTTAGGGGCCATCAGGCTGGCAGGGGAGAGCAGTTAGGGGTATCAGGCCAGCAGGGGAGAGCAGTTAGGGGGATCAGGCCAGCAGGGGAGAGCAGTAAGGGGGATCAGGCTGGCAGGCAGAGATGGTTAGGGGCAATCAGGCAGGCAGGGGTCCTGGATTGGAGAGGGTGCAGACCGGGCTGAGGGACACCCCCCACCCCCACCCTGAAGCTGTGCACGATTTCGTGCACCAGGCCTCTGGTAGTCAGTAATTCTCTACACTCCCCCCAAAAGTGTACTTTAAAGAAGAATAGCCCTGGCTGATGTGGCCCAGTTAGCTGGGTGGTGTCCTGTGCATCAGAAGGCTGTGGGTTCAGTCCCCACTAGGGGGCGTGCAGGAGGCAGCCTATTGATGTTTCACTCTCACACTGATGTTTTTCTCCCTCTCCCTTGTCCTCTCTCTAAAAACGAATCAATAAAAATACTTCAGCAAAGAATAAAAATGATTAAAGTAGTATTATTTAATCAGTTTTATTTTTTCACATCCCAATGGTAAGGTCTGGGGAAAACAGACCTGAGTTTTACAAAAGCTGCCCAAAGCCTTCACTGGAAAGCTTACCTAGGGACAAATCTCTATGCATGCGCCTGACGAAAAACACATGAATTTTTCACCTTTAAGATATATGTATTTCCCTGTAATGAGCAACTATCTGGAGTGTTTTTATTATAAAATTAAGGAAAGAAATATCAGTAATTGCCAGCATTTGTGTTTTTGGTCTTCATCATCCAACATTTGTGAGTAGGCAGGTTACTGGGTAGCGTCAAAAGTATTACTGTGGTTGGTATGTTCATAAGCCGCAGCACCAACACATGGAGCCGGGATGGTCTCTAACGCGCCCCCTTAGGAAGAGCTGGAGAGGCGGGGAGGTGAGAACCTGGTAAGGAGCTCTCCCCTCACCCCGCCCCTGACCCCACCGCCTGCTAATAAATGTGGGGGACGTGCCCCAGCCACGGAGCAGGGCGCGCTGCTGTTCTCGGAAACTTACTTGTAAGAAACTCCTGGGGATTTTGGCCAGATCCTCCACGTACTCCTGGCAGGTGTAACACAGGAAATGCTGCAACCCCACCGGCAAAGAGAACAAGTCAGAGCCCACACCCTCCGGGGGCAGCGGGACCCAGCGCGTCGGTCCGCAGGACGCGAAGCAGCACCCAGGTTGGGTAGAAAAGGGTATCGCGGCGCCCAATCGGCTTGAAAACGGGGCGCCCCGTCCCCGCGAAGCCTCCTCGCTGGCGGAGGAAGGGCCTGGGCCTGGCGGCTCCTGGTCCATCCCGTCTGGGAAGCCAGGGGCCCTCCGCGCTCCCGACGCCCCAGTGGGCGGCCCCGGGAAGGGCGGGCGGATGCCGCCTCCGACCCGACCCTCTGCCCTGCAGGGTCTCCCGGCCGCGGCTGGGGAAGCCACCTCCACCCCGGCTGCTGGCGAGGTCCCTGCTCCGGTCGCCCCGCCGCCCGCGCTCACCCGCACGAAGACCACGATGGCTCGGCGCTCCCGGAACAGCGCGCCGAACGGCACCCGCCTTCCATTCGCGTCCAGCACGGGGAGCTCGGCCACGGAGGCGGCCAGTGGCTGCCCGCGCTCGGGGCCGCTCGGGACCGGGGCGGCAGCGGTGGGGCCGCTCGGGACCGGGACTGCGGCGGTGCGGCCGCTGACCTGCCGCGTGATCGCGGCCAGGGCCGGGGCGGCCATCGCGTCCTGAGTCTGAGGGCCCGCGTTCTTGCCCCGAGTGGGTGGGACAAATAGGCCCGAGGTGCGCGCCAGGGTCACAGGGAGGCGGGGCTCTTCGGGGGCGGTGCGCGGGAGGCGGGGCTTACCAGGGGGCCGGGCGCGGGAGGCGGGGGCGGTACTCGGGGGGAGGGGCGCCGCGAGAGGCGCGGCTTACTGGGGGCGGGGCGCGGGGAGGCGGGGCTCAGCGGGGGGTGGGGCGCGGGGAGGCGGGTCGCAGCAAGAGGCGCGGGACCTGGGGAGGCGAGGCTCAGCAGGGAGTGGGGCGCAGGAGGCGCGGGGCGCAGCTGGGGGGGTGCGGGGGGGGGGGGCGCGGGGAAGCGGGGCTGCGCGGAGCCCGGATCACTGGGTTGAGCTGCTCACGTCCAGCGGCTCCACGGTGAGGATCTGCGGGTTTGGTTTCTACTGGGCTCCGCAGGTCTGGATGCCTGTGCGTTGCTGACATTAAGTCCTGGTAGGAAGTGAGATGGGTCCGAGCGAGGAAAGTGTTATTTAGGAAGAAAGCAGTCTCTTGGGCAGACCGATCTGAGTTCTTATGCAGGAGAACCAGTTGCCCAGGATTTTCTTACCCAGGACAACATATCTGGGATCCAATAGCATTGCTATTGTGTTAGCTTATATTCCGTTTCTAACCCAGCCCCTGCCACTTTCTTTTCCGAGTAATCATTAACGGGGTAATATACACTTAAGTGTAGAGTTACATTTATATATATATATAATTTCAGAGAGAATGGGAGAGGGAGAGACATAGAAACATCAATGATGAGAATCATTGATCAGCTGCCTCCTGCACGCCCCCTACTGGGGATCTGAGCCAGCAACCCTGAGGGAGAATCTATCTTGACCTCCGGGTTCATAGTTTGACGCTCAACCACTGAGCCACATCAGCCGGGCAAAGAGAACCTTTTTATTCTTTCTGTAAAACTTGCCAGTCCAGGTTACTGAGTGTTTCTTTATGAAGTTAGTAAGTAGTAAACAATAACTTAGTAAACAGATGAAGAAATAATGTTTCATCCGTTATGTAAAAGCCAGTTTGAGATGCAGGAATTCTTGGATTTAGGAAACATTCTAATTTCATGTTGAATTGTAATCTACTTGTTTGGGTTGTTGGAAACGCCATCACTGAAAAGAAGTCTTGATGGTGAGTCTATTTGTTTACTCATTCATCCATTTAATAATCAGCACGCATTTATTGAACGCCTACTATGTCCTAGGTCCAGTGAGCTCTCCGGTTTGAAAAAACTGGATGGACTGAGAGAAAACCAAAGAGTTAAGTAGGCAAGTAAGTTTTGACTCCAGTATGAGCCTTGTTGTTGGCTAGTTCAACTGTAATGTAATCCCTTAATTGAAAAAATAAACATAAATGAACATAGCTGTATTCCAAGCTGATGGCATATCCACATATTGAAGAACTATTTCAAATGACTCTAAAACATAGCATGTTTTACTCTACATCCCTAGAAGGATATTTCAATAAAAAAAGAACTCTAAGAAATCTTTTTTTAAATTGTTTTATTGCTTAAAGTATTACAAAGAGTATTACATATGTCTCCTTTTTTCCTGCCCTTAACAATCCCCCAGCCTCCCCTACCCCCCAGTGTCTTATGTCCATTGGTTATATGCATGCATACAAGTCCTTCGGTTGATCTCTTAAACACCCCCCCTCCCCCGGCCCCTCAACCCTCCCCAGCTTTTACGCTGTAGTTTGACAATCTGTTCGAGGCAGCTCTGCCTCTGTATCTATTTTTGTTCAAAAGTTTATAATGGTCTTTATTATCCATGAGTGAGTGAGATCATGTGGTGTTTTTCCTTCATTGACTGGCTTATTTCACTTAGCATAATGCTCTCCAGTTCCATCCATGCCGTTGCAAATGGTAAGAGTTCCTTCTTTTTTACAGCAGCATAGTATTCCCTCGTGTAGATGTACCACAGTTTTCTAATCCATTCATCTACTGATGGGCACTTAGGCTGTTTCCATATCTTAGCTATGGTGAATTGTGCTGCTATGAACATAGGGGTGCATATATCCTTTCTGATTGGTGTTTCTAGTTTCTTGGGATATATTCCTAGAAGTGAGATCACAGGGTCAAATGGGAGTTCCATTTTCAGTTTTTTGAGGAAACTCCATCCTGTCTGCCATAGTGGCTGCACCAGTCTGCATTCCTACCAGCAGTGCCCGAGTGTTCCTTTTTCTCCACATCCTCTCTGGCACTTATCATTTGTGGATTTATTGATGATAGCCATTCTGACAGGTGTGAGATGGTAGCGCATCATTGTTTTGATTTGCATCTCTCGGATGATTAGTGACTTTGAGCATGTTTTCATATGTCTCTTGGCTTTCTGAATGTCCTCTTTTGAAAGGTGTCTATTCAGGTCCTTTGCCCATTTTTTTTTTAATATATTTTATTGATTTTTTTACAGAGAGGAAGGGAGAGCGATAGAGAGTTAGAAACATCGATGAGAGAGAAACATCGATCAGCTGCCTCCTGCACATCTCCTACTGGGGATGTGCCCGCAACCCAGGTACATGCCCTTGACCGGAATCGAACCTGGGACCTTTCAGTCCGCAGGCTGACGCTCTATCCACTGAGCCAAACCGGTTCTGGCCTTTGCCCATTTTTTGATTGGATTGTTTATCTTCCTCTTGTTAAGTTGTATGAGTTCCCTATAAATTTTGGAGATTAGGCCCTTATCAGATATGACATTGGCAAATATGTTCTCCCATGCAGTGGGCTTTCTTGTTGTTTTGTTGATGGTTTCTTTTGCTGTGCAGAAGCTTTTTATTTTGATGTAGTCCCATTTGTTTATTTTCTCTTTAGGTTCCAATGCCCTAGGAGCTGTATCGGTGAAGAAATTGCTTTGGCATATGTCTGAGATTTTGTTGCCTTTGGATTCTTCTAGTATTTTTATGGTTTCCTGTCATACATTTAAGTCCTTTATCTATTTTGAGTTTATTTTTGTGTATGGTGTAAGTTGGTGGTCTAGTTTCATTTTCTTGCATGTATCTGTCTAATTTTTCCAACACCATTTATTGAAGAGACTGTCTTGACTCCATTGTATGTTCTTGCCTTTGTCAAATATTAATTTAGCATATTGGGTCAGGTTGATTTCTGGGCTCTCTATTCTGTTCTATTGATCTATATGTCTGTTCTTATGCCAGTACCAGGCAGTTTTGAGAACAGTGGCTTTGTAATACAGCTTGATATCTGGTATTGAGATCCCACCTACTTTGTTCTTCTTTCTCAGGATTGCTGCAGCTATTCGGGGTCTTTTTTAATTCCAGATGAATTTTTGGAGAGTTCGTTCTAGGCCTGTGAAATATGCCGTTGGTATTTTAATGGGAAGTGTGTTGAATTTATAGATTGTTTTGGGTGGTATGGACATTTTAATGATGTTGATTCTACCAATCCATGAACATGGTATGTTCTTCCATCTGTTCTTCCTCTATCTCTTTTTTCAACGTCCTGTAGTTTTCTGAGTAGAGGTCTTTTACCTCTTTAGCTAGGTTTATTCCTAGGTATCTTAATTTTTTTGGTGTGATGGTAAATGGGATTGCTTTTTTAGTCTCTTTTTCTGTAAGTTCACTATTGGTGTATAGAAATGCCATAGATTTCTTGGTGTTGATTTTGTATCCTGCTACATTGCTGAATTCATTTATTAAGTCTAATAGCTTTTTGAAGGAGTCTTTAGGGTTTTTTATATACAATATCATGTCATTTGCAAATAAGGACAGTTTTACTTCTTCTTTTCCAATTTGAATGCCCTTTATTTCTTCTTCTTGTCTAATCACAATGGCTAATACTTCTAGTACTATGTCTAACAGGCATGGTGAGAGTGGGCATCCCTGTCTTGTTCCTGTTCTTAGGGGAAATGGTTTTAGTTTTTGTCCATTGAGTATGATGTTGGCTGTGGGTTTGTTATATATGGCTTTTATTATGTTGAGGTATGATCCTTCTATTCCCACCTTGCTGAGAGTTTTTATCAAAAATGGGTGTTGGATTTTGTCAAATGCTTTTTCTGCATCAATTGATATGACTATGTGGATTTTTTCTCTCAATTTGTTTTGTGATGAATCACATTTATTGATTTGCGGATATTGTACCATCCTTGCATCCCTGGGATAAATCCTACTTGGTCATGGTGTATGATCTTTCTGATGTACTGCTGGATCCGATTTGCTAAGATTTTGTTGAGGATTTTGGCATCTATGTTCATGAGGGATATTGGCCTGTAATTCTCTTTCATTGTGTTGTCTTTATCTGGTTTTGGTATGAGGGTGATGCTGGCTTCATAGAATGAGCTTCGAAGTGTTCCTTCCTCTTGGATTTTTTGGAATAGTCTGGGAAGGATAGGTTTTAGTTCTTCCTTGAATGTTTGGTAAAACTCCCCTGTGAAGCCGTCTAACCCTGGCTTTTGTTTGCTGGAAGGTTTTGATGACTGCTTCAATTTCTTCCATAGTTATTGGCCTATAGAGATTTGTGGATTCTTCCTGATTGAGTTTTGGAAGGTTGTATTTTTCTAGGAATATGTCCATTTCCTCCAGGTTGACTAGTTTGTTGGAGTAGAGTTGTTCATATTATTATTTTTTTTAACAATCATTTGTATTTCTGTGGGGTCTGTTGTTATTTCACCTCTGTCATTTCTGATTTTGTTTATTTTGGTCCTCTCTCTTTGCATCTTGGTGAGCCTGGCTAGAGTTTCATCAATCTTGTTTATCCCTTCAAAGAACCAGCTCTTGGTTTCATTGATCTTATGTGTTGTTGTTTTTTTTTTTTTTTTTTTGGTCTCTATGTCATTTATTTCTCCTCTGATCTTTATTATCTCCTTCCTTCTGCTCACTCTGGGATTTTCTTATTGTTCTCTTTCTAATTCTTTGAGTTGTAGAGTTAGATGATTTACTACCATTTTTTCTTGCTTTTTGAGGTAGGCCTGGAGAACTATAAACTTCCCTCTCAGGACTGCTTTCATTGTGTCCCATAGGTTTTGTATTGTTTTGTTTTCATTGTCATTAGTTTCCAGGATGTTTTTAATTTCTT